GTGGTGCTGATGAGTGGTGACCACATTGATGACCTGGAGGTTATCTGCAGGAGTAGCGCTGATTCACGGAAAGTCATATTGATGAGTTGATAAGAGACTGGTGTTGCGCTGATGAGCGTTGGACTCAGGGGAACTTTGAAACACTTTGTATTCATAATTCTGATAATATAAGCAGTGAAACTCGGTCCCCTTTTCCTCTACCTTTGTCTATGGTTGATACTATTGATCGCTGCGTGTGAAGATGATGCATGATATGTACACATCTGCATGAGATGGTCTCCAGGACCCATGCAGAATGGTTCGGAGAGAAACTTTGAACACACAGCCAACTGAGAAGAGCAGAGCAGCATCAGTTAAGAATTTCCTTTGCCACCACCTTGGTTCTTGTCGCAACAGGCGCAGAGACAACAGAAACTCTTCACAAGAACTCTTAGGTTGGCATGACAACCCAGCATCCTCTGCCTTTTACGCACTGTCTTTATAGCGCTCCTTGCTGTGCAGCTGTGCAATTGTTGTTAAAGTATCTTGTTCTCGGCAACCCCTGAGTAATTCCTGCCACATCCAGGATCACACTGCACAACAATGCAGTCCCAAAGTAAGGCTGTTGAAGTGCCGATGTAGGGATTACAGCAATGCAATGATGAGGGCAATTATCTGAGTAGTGCGTTCCTCACTTCTGTTGATATCACGTGGGAAGAACACATAGAAGAGACCGGTGCTGGATTGCTATCGGCCTCTAGGGATCTCCTGACGAGCACTTATCAGCATTCCTCTCAACCTATGAGATGTTCCATGTGCGGCCCAGTTATAACATGCAAAGACTTCTGTGGCAGTGTGACAACTGTAGTTATAGCTGCATCAACAATGCTTCTTATTCAATTCCGCTGGGAAAGGTTGCTCTGGTTGTAATCCTTGGACGATCAGCACTGAAGTAAACAATCAAAAAGCAGTAAACGAGTTGATCAGGGGACAGAACTGACAAATGTGCCTGGGGATTTGTCTTTGGCAGTGTGACAATTGTCGTGGCTTATCTGATGAGGACACACAATATGCTGCTGTGCGATGCACTTGACCGTGTACGACGTTGCAGAGCATGTGCATGTCCAAATCCTGGATTCATGAACCAGCTAAAGGCACTCGACAGGAGGCTTTCTCATGGTGAGCAGCAAGTCACGGAGAACAAGAACCCCCTTGAGTGATTCAAACTGCATGTTTGGAAGTTAGGTGTGCAAGTATGTTGGCATGTGAATGTTGCATACTGACAAGAGGGCAACACCAACTGCAGTGTGGCAGGGCAGCGCAGCGGAGGGCTACGCTCTCACCAGATCAGGTGCTATACTTCGGAGATCCTGGTCTACTGATGAATAAGCACGTACCCCCACTCCACTGTTAGCATGATCAAATTGTCCTTGTCTTAAGTTCACAGCTTGCAGAATGTCCGACAGGGATGGCCTCTTGCTAGCTGACCTTCCAACCGCTGTTGCCTTGCACTATATCAGTGGACTAGTGTTGGCTAATTTGTTCATAATTGGATATGCGACTATGCTGTCTTCTGACGGGTGGAACTCTGCCAAGTGTTGCGTTTTCTTGATAACAAGTGATGGCTGTTTAAAGTGGAAGCTAAGTAGCTGATGGTGGCTCACATGTTTTGTTCATTGATCTCTGGATGGCAAGGGAGACCTAAGTCAGGTGATTAGCAGACGTTTTTCAAGTTTCATTCCTCATAGCTTGGTTTCCTGATGAAGTGATCTGTCTAAGGCCCAAAAGCTCTTTGTGGTTGTGGGTTTGTTTTGAGTCTGCTCTTAATCGAGAATATGTTGGGTGGAGAATAGGGGCACTCTAAGACGAGGCTTGCTACAGAAAGATGCTTTGCTGTAACCGCCAATGATATGCATGCAGTAAGACGAGGTTAGCATGATCAAATTGTCATTGACTTAAGTTCACAGCTTGCAGAATGTCGGACTCTGGATGGCAAAGGAGACCGAAGACAGGTGATTAGCAGACGTTTTTCGAGTTTCATTCCTCATAGCTTGGTTTCCTGATGAAGTGATCTGTCTAAGGCCCAAATGCTTTCTGTGGTAGTGGGTTTGTTTTGAGTCTGCTCTTAATCGAGAATATGTTGGGTGGAGAATAGGGGCACTCTAAGACGAGGCTTGCTACAGAAAGATGCTTCGCTGTAACCGCCAGTGATATGCTTGCATACAGAGTATTACAGACGCATACACACATATACACAAGGGTGAGTGGGTGTGTAGAGTGGTTTTTATGGCTGTGACAGACTAGTTTCTCAGACTTACTGCCATTCTTCTCAGGAGTTTGGACCGACACTCTACTAGGATTGCAGGGTTGGTGTGAGTAGACTTTTCTCAGGGGTATGGCTAACTCTGGGTGACATGGTGGGTCCTTATCCATCAGTCAAATGGATCCTGCGCATACTGTTGGGGCTCAAACTCCTGATGAGTCGGTAAATGTCTGATAAATCATTTTGGCACAGTCATGCTGTTTTTGTGGAGTGTACTGCACGCGGAGAGAGAGAGAGAGAGAGAGAGAGAGAGAGAGAGAGAGAG